AAAAGAGGAAGACCCCCAAGGAGATGGATTGGCCAAGTGGCAGCATCGATGGACTCAAGCGTGGCAACAGTAGTGAGGTTGGCCCAGGATCAAGCAGTGTTTCATTTTGCTGTGCATAAATAAGGTCGCTATGGGTCGTTACCGACTTGATGGCACCTAACAACAACAACAATTCTATTATTTTGTTGGCTATGCTGTACTGGACTGAACTGACTCAAATCCTTAATTTGGACCCACCAGTAGTTCTGCAGGAGAAAAATGAGGCATTCTGCTTTCGTAAAGACGACAGCCTCAGAAACCTGAAGGGGCGGTTGTACTCTGTCCTGTAGCCTCGATATGAATCAGAATCCACTCAGCTGCATCCTTAGGAGAGCGTGGGAGCTCTTCACAATAAGTACTGGACTGCTAACCACAAGGTCGGCTGTTTGTGCCCACCAGTCACTCTATGGGGGAAAGATGAGACTCTCTGATGCTTGTTTAGTAGAACGTATTTACAATTAGGATAGAAGCAACAATGGAATAGGAAATTAATAGGTGTTTTCTTATGGTCAGCTTTTTAGTTTTCTGAATCATTGCTCCCCTGGTACTTCTTACTTGTTTCATACTGGCTTGTTGTAGAGCAGCCCTTTTTCATCACTTGCTTTGGTTTCTTACTGACCCTCTCTTCATCCCTGCTATCGTCACTGACATCTCAATCAAAACCTCCCACTCTCTTTGTACAGTGTCAGACTGCTAGCATGCTGAAGAAGCCGTTATGCCTGAATGAGTTTTCGTAGCCTATTTCATCATAGCAGAAGTTGTGGAATAAATCTCTGAATAAACTAAAGTGTTCCTATGTTAATATTTGCATGTAATTTAGGGAACCAAGAACATTTTTAAAATGTAATAAATGCTTGCTTATTTACTGTTTGATTGTCTCTGGTAGTTGTTATTAAAGAATCAGTGGTTAAAACTTAAAGAGCTTCTAACTGTTCTAATCTAAGGAATTTTTAAAAAACAAATGCAAATCAGTGAAATGCTTTCCATGTACTTGGACAATCTGTCACAGCATGTTTGCATGTCCCTTTGTCTTACAGTGAATCCTGGAGGATGGGCACCAGCCTCAGTGTTAAGGGCAGTGGCAAAGCGAGAGTATCCCAAGTTTCTGAAACGTTTCACTTCTTACGTCCAAGAAAAAACTGCAGGAAAACCTATATTATTCTAGTATTAATAGGTACTGGAAACTATGCTGTCTCTTTTTACAAACTTTAACTAGTATGACTCTGAAGAGGTTAAAATAGAGTTAATTCTTCAAAATAATTGCTGTATTTTTATGGTATTCCCAGTTACAGAACTGTAGCTTATTAAAACTTCCTTGTTATTGATTTTTGGTGTGATTACGAACTATGAATTTGCCTAAAGAAATCTCAGTGTTGTTGTTGTTGTTGTTGTTGTTAAGTGACGTTGAGTCGATTCCGACTCACAGTGACCCAGTTGTAGGGTTTCCGAGGAGCAGCTGGTAAGCTTGAACTGCTAACCGTGCAGTTTGCCACATTAACCCGCAATGCCAGGACTCCAGTTTACTTAATGAAATCTCAGTAGACATAAAGAATTTCAAAAATACAAATCCTCCATAATCGTTACTTTCCCAGAAACTCTTGAAATGTTCAGACTTTTCTACATATGTATGGACATATATTATTGAGTGTATGTGAACATTTTTAAAAGTTTAAATTAAAAAAATTTAAAAGACAATAAAAATTTATTCTCTATGACTTTTTCACTTAGTAAGTATATCTTGGGTATCTTTCTGTATAAAGATATGAGACATATAAAACCACCTCGCTCTTTTAACATGTAATATAAATGTTACAGAATCTATTCATCAGTTCCATGTTAATATCTGGGTTGGATCCATATTTTACTATCATTTTTTTTCCCACTGTTAACTAGCATCTTGTGCATCTTTCCAAAAAAAAATTTTTTTAATGCCTGAAAAAGCAAATGCAAGTGTATCCCACCTTCTCTGCTCCCTCATACTCTTTCACTGCTGTTCTATGTCTTGTTTCTGCATTTGTTGTGTCTTCAAACTCTTTCCATATTAGTATAAAGCTTTTTCACTTTTTTTAGGGGGGCTGTAGAGTATCCCATTATATTATTGTTGTTAAGTGCCATCAAATTGGGTCCGACTCAGTGACCTTGTATAAGGTTTCTAAAGAGTATCTGGTGAGTTTGAACCACCAACCTTGAGGTTAGCAGTCCAGTGCTTATCATACAGTGCACCACCAGGACTCCATTCCATTTTATACGGATGCATTATCTCTTTAACCATGGTAGTGTACACGGTTTATGCTGGGCTTCGGGTTGGCGATGCAGGCCCATGCCGTGGCACTGCAGGAGAAAGGCTGATGGTGTGCTCCTGTAGCTCCTCCATCCCCGAGCCCACTAGAGCAGGCCCATGCCGGGATGGGTGTCATCACCACCACTCAGAACAAACTCCACACGATGAGTTGGGTTGGATTTTTTTCTGTTGTTTGCATTTTTTTTTGCTATGGCAGTGTTAAGAGTACCCCAGTGTTATTTTATACTGTCGGTGTATGTTATTATTGTTAGGTGCTGTGGAGTCGGTTCCAACTCAGCAATCTTATGAGTAACAAACGAATCACTGACCAGTCCTGCACCGTCCTTACATTGTTGTTATGTCAACCCATTACTGCTACCTGTGTGTCATCCCAGTTCACTGGTGGGCTTCCTCTTTCTCACTGACCCTCCACTTTTCCAAGCTTGATGTCCTTCTCCAGTGACTGATCCTTCCTGATAATATATCTGAAGTATGAGAAACAGAGTCTCAGCATCCTGGCTTCTAAAGAGCGTTCTGGTGTACTTCTCCCAACAAGGATTTGTCAGTGTTGGTCTGTTGGTGTATTGTTAGGCTCCTGTCGAGTCAGTTCCAACTCATAATGACTCTATGCACGACAGAAAGAAATGCTGCCCGGATCTCTGCCTTCCTCACAGTTGTTCCTTCTCTTGGTCCTGTTTAGGGTCTTCTTCTTTTTCACTGACCATCCACTTTACCAAGCATGATGTCCTTCTACAGGGACTGATCACTCCTGTCTGAAAGATGAAATCTGGCCATCCTGATTTCTAGGGAACATTCTGGCTGTACTTCTTCCAGCCCAGATTTGTTTGTTCTTCTAGAAGTTCATGGCATTTTTAATAGTCTTCTCCAGCACCGTAACTCAAATGTATCAATTCTTCCGTGGTCTTCCTTAATTCACTGTCCAACTTGCACATGCATTTGAAGGTGTTGACAAAACCATGGCTTGGGTCAGGTACACCTTAGAGCTCAAACTGTCATCTGTGCTCTTGAACACTTTAAAGAGGTCTCGTACAGAAGATTTGCCTAATGCAGTACAGTATGGTCACTTGATTTCTTGACTGCTGCTTACATGAATGTTGATAGTGGATCCAAGGAAATATAAGTCTTTGACAACCTCAGTCTTTCTCCATTTATCAAGAGCTTATTTATTGGTCCAGTGGTGAGGACTTTTGTTTTCTTCATATTGAGGTACATCCCATACAGAAGGCTGTGTTCTCTGTTCTTCATCAGTAAGTATTTTAAGTCCTCTTCACTTTCAGCAAGAAAGTCATTCTGACTTCTAAGGAGCATTGTGCTGTACCTCTTCCAACACAGATTTATATGTTCTTCTGGCAGTCCATGGTACTTTAGGTATTTTTCCATAACTTTATATTATTTTACTATTAATATTTATACTTTTAAATACTTTTAATATTCTTCCATAACATAATATTCATACCATTACTGAAATGTATCCATCCTGCAAGGGTCTTCCTTATTCACTGTATGCTGAGTATTGACTGACTCAGTATGGAGAAAGAATACAAATAGGGCACATACGTGTCCTGATTTTAAACCATCCATTGCCCCTTGTGTGTTCAAATGACTGCCTCTTGGACTGTGTACAGATTTCTGTTCACACCTGAGTGTTCTGAAATGCCCATTGTTTGCAATGTTGTCCATAGCTTGTCATGATCCACACAGTCGAAAGCCTTTACATAGTCACAGGTAAACATCTTTCTGGCATTCTCTGCTTTCAGCCAAGATCCATGTGACGTCAGCAGTGCTATCTCTCATTCCACATGCTCTTCTGAATCCAACTTGAACCTCCAGCAGTTCCTGTCAATGTACTGTTGCAGATGTTTTTAAATTACCTTAGCAAAATTTTACTTGTATCTGATAGTAATGATATAGTCCGCTGATTTCTGCATTTCACTGGGTCACCTCTCTTTAGAATGGGCACACATGTGGCTATCCTCCAGTCGTTTGGCCAGGTAGCTGTCTACCACATTTCTTGGCATAGATGAGTGAGTGCCTCCAGTGGTGCATCAGTTTGTTGCGAGATTTCTGTTTGCATACTGTCAATTCCCGGAACCTGGTTCCTTGCCAGTGTCTTCAGTGCAGCTTGGATTTCTTCCTTCAGTATCATTGGTTCTTGATCATGTGATACCTCTTGAAGTAGTTGAACATCAATCATTTCTTTTTGGTACAGTGACTCTGTGTGTACTGCTTCCATTGAGATGAATGTGACACCATTTCTCTTGAATTTGTCTTTCTCAGCATAGCAAACCATATGATTTGTGCTTCAGAATGGCTACTATCAGTTTGTTTAAGCTCACTACAGCCTAAGATGGACTATGAACCACAGGGTCAGCAGTTCAAACCCATCAGCTTCTCCTTAGGAGTCCTTTTCTGGGTCACTGTAAGTCAGAACCGACTCAAAGGCACTTAACAGCAGCAACAAGTAGGCAGTCAAGGGAACCCTGGGATGCAGTGGGCTAAGCAGTGCCTAGGATACCCATCTGTATGCATTCCATTTCATTTCTGAGAACTCCCAATTTAGTAATGAAGTTCTATAGTTCTTTTTCCTCATTTGATTTTAAAATATTTATCATATAAACCAGAGGCTTGTTGCCAGAAGTCAGAACAGTACGTTTGTCATCTTACTCATTTGTCTCTTCCCATGGCCTTAAGATCTAGAGATTTGCTGTTTCACCCTGATCATGATTGAGCATGCAACTCTTATCTCCCTTCTCGCTTCCAACTTAATGCTTTGATTACTTCCTTACTAAACACAGGCAGATACTCAGTTAAGCAGGGCAGGAAATATGACAGGCTATTAAGCCAGCTGACTCCTCCATGGAGAAAGGTGATGTTTTCTGCTTTTGCAAAGATTTCAGCCTTGGAAACCCATACAGGGTTGCTATGAGTCGGAATCATCCCAGCAGCACTTAGCAGGAATAAAAGGAATAAAAATGTGGTATATAAAGCTTGCTCTCAGCTATGGAAAGAAAACTTTAAAATATCTATTTAAAATGTACAAGCTTATACATGAATCATAATGGTTACGAATTGGGCTGCTAACCTCAGGGTCAGAAGTTTGAAACTACCAGCTGTTTCACGGGAGAAAGATGAAGCTTTTTGCTTCCATAAGGATTTACAGCCTCAGAAACCCTGTACAGGGTCGCTATGAGTTAGAACTGACTCCACAGCACATAACAACAACATATATGAGCAGTATTTCCTCCAAACTGTTGATTTTAGAGTAGTATTTTGTGTGTTGGTCTGTTCATCCATCATCCATCCATCATGTGATTGTATTTCTTTTGTGGACCAGGAGGGAAAGGGGTTGAAGTATCTTAGAGTATCTTGGAGCAAGGAGGTCACACTGTTTGTATAAATGTGTGTATGAACGTAAAGTTATAACCAAAAGAACTCAATGGCTAAAGCTCAGTAAAGCCGTTGAGTTGACCAAGAACCTGATTCATATCTTAAAATGTGGTTAAAATTCATACATATCTAAAGTAACATTTGTCTCCCAATAAGTGTGGCAAATGTATTGTAATAAGGTGATCCTAGCATTGAAAGCTAACATCTTAATTTTGGTGATGGGGGTAAAGTGACTTTTAATGTTAAGTGCCATGGAGTCGATTCCAACTCATAGAAACCCTGTGTATAAGGTTTCCAAGGTGGTTTTGAACGCTCTTCACTCGGCATATACTATAAATACATGTAAAATTACATGTACTTTGAAGTTAGCAGTCCATTGCTTATCCTGTAACACCACACCAGGATTCCTAACTTTCAGTAGTATTTATCATTTCTAGAGAAATTGTGTAAAAATTAATGAGGCCCAAAGATGTTTGAAAAACTTGCTCTCAGACCTCTCCCATAGCTTATGTAACTTAAAAAAACATCTTGACAAATGGTATTCTGTGCCCTAACTTCTAATGAAGACTGAATGAAGAAAGGAAATACCAGCGGTGGGATATAAATCCTGAGATTTCTTGTTTCCCTTGCTTACCTGGACATTGTCCTTTTTTCTCTGGTAGCGTAGTGGTTACAAATCGGGCTATGAACCGCAAGGTCAGCAGTTTGAAACTACCAGCTGCTCCGCTGGAGAAAGATGAGGCGTTCTGCAACCATAAAGATTAACAGCCTTGGAAACCCTGTGGAGGGTCGCTATGAGTCGGAACCGACTCCACGGCACATAACAACAACAACAAACAACTTTCAAAAGATTACTAATACCTTCTCATCCTTTGTGTGGGGAAAGGTTCAAATATCTTACATAGTTTAATAATTTTACATTTATAAAGGCAAAAATCCTTACAATGTAAATTTTAATAGATGACCTGTACAGTCCTCAAGTTTGGAGGACGGGAGGCTGTGTTCTGGTGGCTTTGCAGCCATTTGTAATAATACATTGCTGACTTTTATACTTGCCATTTTGTTTCCTGCAGTGACTGAAGCAAGGCTGTGTGACATTCCATTTTGGAGAGAAATAACAAAATTGAATGCTCTGAGCTGGAACATAGGATCTCTAGCCTTGTCTGTGACCCGAGACAAGACCTTGCTTGGTCTTGTGTACGAACATGAAGAAATCCTGCAATAGCAAGCTGACCACCTAACACTAGCTGTCCCCTACTAGAGCTCTTCACTCGGCGTATATTATAAATACATGTAAAATTACATGTACATGGCTATATTTTTATTTGCTTGCTCCTAGGAGAGAAAAAAAAAATCAACTTTGAATTACAAACTAGGAATTGATGCTTTAATTTTTGGAAACTTTTTCAGGATTTTTAATTTACTCTGGTCTGGCCTAAGATCCTCAGTTGTATCAGGTTTTGTGCACAAAAGCAAAGCACAACAGTGGAAGGCACATGGGGCACGTGCTTTCTGTGCACCAAATATCTAGATGGGGTTCTTTTCCCAGGCCTCCAGCCCAACCGGTGTCCAAACTTTATGACTTTTTTTGCTCTGTATAATCATAGAGTTCATTGCTGCTGATTTCTATAATGATTCATGCTGTCATGTAAATTGTCCCCTTTGAAGTGATGACTGTCCGTACCTGTGACTCTGCCTTTTCTATAGTCTTGCTCCTATGAAGAACCCTCGTTCTGATGGAGAGAGTGTGAAAAGCTTTATTTTCCACATACACACACAGATTCTTTATATTTCTATTGTGTTTGCTCATTGTGTACTATGTGCTCCAGAATTTTTTCAGTTTGTTACAGACACAATTTGGTGATTCCTAAACTGAGTCTGCCTGCCTCCAAACAGAAACAGCTATACAAATTGTGTCGGTGCAGACTACTTTCTCATAAAATAGTTGGGATAAAACAAGCTGATGATGCCCTGAGAGTTATAAGAGAATATGTGGTATTACTTGTTAAAACAAATCAGGCTCTTTGAGTGTGACCTTGGGTTCACTGTTCCTAGTATTCAGTAAAGCAGGTGTGTTAGTTCTGCCAGTGTGGGTTCCTTGAAAGGATGTTGCTAGATAAGCAGAGAAACTTCTAAACATTGCTCCACTTTCCCTCTTGATCAGAAACCTCGGCAGAACAGTAAAGAATTACACTTAATTCCAACTGAAAGTCTTCCCTTCATTATTGTAAGACCTCAAATGTAAAACACCTTTTTGAGTTGTAGGCCTCTGTGTCCCTTGAAGCCTGGAGTGGAGGCTAAGACTGGTACTTACTGAAGTAGAAATGACTGCCCACTTCCAGATGAAGACTGTATTTGTACACAAATGTGTTTCTGTAAAGCAGAGGCGTCTTATAGATGCTTTGCTGGCTGACTTACTCATCTCTGTAGAAACACAGAAATCAGACCCATTTTGTAAAGCAGAAAGCCAAGTCATGTGGAACGTGTACTGTATATATTTCATACATGGTAGCGGAGTCTTAACACAAAATGCAAGATGATAATTTAATGATGGGATTAGTCTGATCGCTTAATATGCACAATCCTGGAAGTGAATTACTTGCATCAGATCTAGTGATATTTATTATTATGTACAGAGAGAAAATGCACATAAAACATATGCTTACATGCACGCAGATTTCATGCTCCATAAATCTTTTCTATTTTTTAATTTCCCTTTATCTAAATGTTGTGCATGGAATATGCCTTATTACTGAAAACTGCTGTTGATGATTTGACGATGTGGACAAGTGCCTATATGGTGGTAATGCTAGTGAGGCAAATAGACAAGTTCTCATATTAGTTTACTACATCACCGGTTACCATTTTATATTGTGATGTTTTCAAAAAGAAAAGTTTATACCTCAAATGTGTATTTTATTTTACAATCAGCTGTGGGTTTGGGATGGGAGTGTGTGGGAGGGCTTGGGAGGAGATGGGAAAGTGTACTCAGCATAGCCCCTGATCAAAATCTTCCAAAACATTCTCTATGCCCCAATCTTTGTTTCTCTGTTTGCCATATCTGGTAACTATCATGAACGCAGATGAAGAATTGTTTCATAATTAAATTGGATAGCTTTATTTTACAAAGATATGAAAAGTTTACAGAGCAGTATCTAAATCTGATTCTCGTTAGTTACATTTGCACTAAATGTGATGATGTTCTTTTGCAATTTATTATGTAAATAAAATGATCGCACTAAAAATACTTGTATTTAAAAAAAAAAAAAAAAGCAGAAAAGAAAAAAACACATTTTACTGTTAGAGAAGTGCACTGATATGATACTTCACTAGAGTGAATCCCGCCCAATCAGATTGAGATGTGAGTTGGGGAACTATGAAAAGTTCAAGAGTTACACCTGGACAGGTACTGGCCTTTCACAGCCTCCAAAGTTATTTTTATATGGCTAATTCCTACGTAGGGAACAGCAATGATGTTTCTCTTCCATAGATATTCCCTATTACTCTTTCCCCAAGCCAAAAAAGAAAATAGCCATTTCCTCTTTCTTCTCCTCACTTACCCTTTTGTGCTGTGATGCCAGAGAGGGTTTTGCCCAGGAGTGCCTGCTGGGCAAGAGAGCACAGTGCTTCACTCCTGGTCTGGAGTGGGGGTGGCGGTGGCATAGCCTTCCTTCACAGCACTTTGTTGGGGCTTGGGCAAGGAGGTGAGAGTGCAACTAAGGAGGCAGGTGAAGGCATTTCCTGTTTCCTCAGTTTTTAATCAATGAATCTGTATGCATATTCGATGTTGCTTTGGGAAACATTTTAGTTGGGCTGAGCTGATTCTCCTGTGAAATCATGCTGGTGGTTTTTAGCTTCTCAGTTTGTCCAGTTAAGCACTTTTCACCAGCATTTAGTCATGAGTTGTGCAGACCATGTTTTTGGATTGTTGCCATTGTTCATCTACAGACTCCAAACCATAATCACCCTAAAGTACCTTGGGAGTATGTTGAGTGTAACTGTTCCTTAATAGCTTTATGATCCTGATGATGTTTTAAAGAAATCATAAAGTTGGTTCTTCCATGTTGCAATCACAAAATTACAGCCAGTATTTAAAAGTGGAAAAAGTATTAAAATATTATGGCCAAATGTACTTGCTTGATTGTGTTTCCTTAACACCAAGGTTCTGCCCTACATAGTCCTCTGAGATGAGAGCAATGCTCTGATGCAGTGTTCTTCAGACTAGGTTGTAAACTAGTTAGGAGTCAAAGGAACTGAAAACCTTTTTTTTTTTTAATACCAAAATACAACTGAAAGGATATATAGAGCATACACCATCCAATTTGAGTCAATTCTCACTCATGACAACCCTGTGGGTAGATTTCCGAGGTGGTAAATCTTTAGTTTTGTTTAATTGCTAGACAGTGAAGCCACAAACAGTTGTATATATTTCTAAAATGAATGCACAGTTCCAGTGAGTATTATTAAGTGCCATCAAGTCGGTTCTGACCCATAGTGACCCTGTATAGGGTTTCTGAGGAGCAGCTGGTGAGCTTGAACCAACTTTGCAGTCCAGCACAGTAACCCACAGCACCACACCAAGAGTCCACCAGTGAGTATGTTGTTAAGTACCATCAAATCGGTTCTGACCCATAGCGGCAGGTGAGCTTGAACCTACAATCTAGCGGTTCAGACGACTTTTCAGCCCAGCGCATTAACCCACAGCGCCACACCAGGAGTCCGCCATTGAGTAGACACGCTTAAAATTCAACTGCACGCACTTAGCTAGAAAGAAAGTCTCATTTACTGAAATAATACAGTCAACTCCACTTGTTACGCTATAAGATGGAATGTGTGGACCCCAATTCTCGTGGCCTGCAGGCTTATACTGAAAGGCCTGAGCCTGCTTCTTACCTAGTAGTGTTCAAGGAGACACTCTGTCCAATAAGATGACCTCTAAAGGCAAACCAGCTACTTCATCTTGTGGGATCTGGAGGAGAAATACAGCTGTGGTGTTGGATTTGATCACAGTATGTGGTCTTCATGGCACAGTTTGAACCCTATGCAGTTTGTGTCTTAGTCTCAACTTTGGAATATGTACCTGTAGATAAGGCGTTCTATTTAGCTATTTCATATTGGTTTATTTTAATGTGTTGCAGACTTTCTTGCCATTGTTTGATCTTGGTTACAGCAGAACTCATATTGCATTTGCATGGTCTATCTAATTTGAAAAACCTGGCACAGCATAAAGATAAGCAACTTTACTCTGCCTCTTTTTTCTATGAAATTCAGTGAGTCTAGTACAAGAACTAATCTAATGAGGTATTTAAAGAGACCCACTCAGGACTTCCTCCTTCCCAGTTCTGATTGTTGAGAGAGGTTGCTAGGATACACTCCATTCCGTATCCCTGACACTCCACGGCTTACCTGCCTCTAAAGTCAGGTCTTTTGTTTTCTTCCATTTGACTTTACTACTTTTTGAATGCGTGGATATAGTGTTTGATGGACTGAAAGAGCCAATTTAAGACTATTACTGTTTGGTATGAATCTTAGCCTCACAAACTTAAATACTGACTTCACAAAATCCCAAGTACTTATATGTCTAGTGTAATTGCACCACCGCACCGGATGAGGTCAGTCCCTGAGAACCCCTGATGAATCTGTATGCTAACTAGTTTGATCATTTTGCTCTCGGTGGAAGTCACTCAGGTTGGGGGAGAAGGGGTTAGCATTATTGATTTGACACATCAAAAAGTCAGGGAGATGCCATGCCAAATTTTAAGGGAAAAGTTCAGTTCATGTCATCTTTATTTGCAAGTAATAATTCCTAAGCCAATGCTAGAAATAGCGAGGAGAGGCCAGTTTTTAAAACTTAGTCCAGTGGTCAGTCCCTATTCATAAGGCATTAGATAAATGGCAAGCTGGAGAGCCTCCTGAATGCCCTCTTTGCCTTGTACTTCCTCTCACACCCACATTCACTTCTGCTACTAGCACACCTCTTGCTAACTATACTTTAATAGAGATCACATCTCTAGGGTGAGTCCAGACTCCTCAACCTCACACTCATGTCCAAGGGCCTTGGAATTGTTTGCCTAGACAGTCTAACTCTTCCTAATCCCATCTACAATTAA